CATTCCGCCTTCTGAGCAATTTTTCGGAAGTACCATCCTTTACTAATCTGAATGACTCAACTGAACACCATTCATTGTTTCAATTATTCTTCATTCCTTACAGAAGGCGCAACCAACCTAGAACCCACCGTGTATTCACTCCTTATCAGTAACCCAGAAGAAACCTGTCCAGAACTACAAAGTATGTTGATTCGATTTGTTTTATGTTTAATAAGCGTAGTATTTGAATCAGCTTATAAGGACAGAATATATTACGAGTAATAGACCATTTTGTAAAGAATCAAATTTATGCATATGCCATTGTGAAGTGCCTCGATACGTATTATTTCAATCACAGGTTACGGATAAATGTATCTCATTAGGCATAAGTTGTTGCTAGGTAGAACAAACATTATGGCTTGCCCTACCTAACAACACGTAATATATGCAATATGCATTTTGATTATTTAAATACAATAATTCTTAACAGGTTAATAAAATCATTCGTAACGAGGCGCTTACGAAGTATAATTTTGGTTACATTACAAAAATGGCGTATTGCGACTTAAACGTGGAGGCTCGCAGCAGGGCAACCTTTGTTTTAAAAGTATATTCAAATTTGTTGTCATATGTATACATGTATACATTAAATGCGTAAAGTCGAATACGACCGAATAAATCTGCCTTTTGGTTGCCCATTACTTGCTTACAAAATGACCATTATTGAATCAATGTTATGTATTGTTTTCCAATTTGTCGTATTATTGAACCCCTTTTCTGATGCATATCGTTTGATCAACTCTGACAGGTCGCCTGAAAGACTTATCTCGTCCGCCCTCTATGCCCAAAGGCAAGGAATCTTGGACCAACGTCCGCAAGAAACTCAACAAAACCAAATCGTCCCTCAACTTGGGCAAGTCACCAAGAAATGCATCTGGCAAGGGGAAAAGATGATGTACCGATTGTATAAAGAACACATCCAACTACCGTTCGGTTAAACTTTTACTAGCTGAGTAAACATTTGATTTTGCCTGTCATCATGAGACTCCATCTATTAGTGAACTGTCGGCTCCACTACATTAGGAAAATATATGGGGGCTTTAATCTCAGAGGGAATACGTAATCATTCTTCTCTTGATCCAGTGTGAGCTGCAATGTACATGTAGGTCTAAATTAAATGCGTATTCTGATTATATATTGTATAGTTCAAATTTGCTGGTATTTTAAAAAAAAAATTGAATATTTTTTTAAAAGATGTGATAGTCGGATTATACTGAATAAACCTTGTGTTACTTCTCTCTGTTGATAATTTTTTTTTTTACATAGGTCACTCATACCGCAACCCGGCCAAAATTCACACTTTAAAGTGCTCTCCAAAGTGCTACCTCCTATATCACTGTATCAAGTGACATTGCATTCAAAATAATGATGCAAATTAAAAGTATTCTGGTGTATATATTTGTAATCTCTCGACCTTTATACAACATGCCTGTGTCAAAATGCTCAGATTTGGATGAAATCCTCCAAGAACAGCTTGCACTGAAATTATTTTTTGCTGTGCCTCTAATGACGTGTTAATTTACCATCCAACATCAAAATAAAGTTGTGAGAACAAATATAATTGACGCATAGAAATCACATATTTTCTCAACTATACAATATTTTGCTACTTTTCATCTAAAGTTCTTTCGTAGTTCATTATCATCCTTAGGTTATTTAAAGGTTTGATATTTTTTAGCATTATTTTTGACAAATGGATCTGTCTGTACATAAAGGTTATGAAAATAAATATGATATATATATTACACTTTTCTTGATTTGTCAAAGAATGGATGCATACTTAAAGGGAAGCGATAACCTTGTATGAAAGATACCAAGGATGTTCTACTACCGAAATGATCAAGAATTAACCTATTCTTTATTTCATGAACAAAACTTACACGTATTAGCAAAATGTAGCTTTCTGTTAGTGTTTGCATTTAGTAATGAATAGCTTAGCTTTCATGTAACCATTAGAAAATAATATTTTAGTCTCCTATTCAAAACGAGTCGAGTTCTACAGCTTCTATCTCTCTCTCTCTCTCTCTCTCTCTCTCTCTCTCTCTCTCTCTCTCTCTCTCTCTCTCGCTTTCTCTCTCACTCCCTCTCCCTCTCTCTCGCTTTCACTTTATGCCGTACCAGGTTGTATTTTGTTTAAAGGTAAAGACCAGTATTGGAAACACCCCAATTTCAAAAAATGAAATGGAAGCTCTCATTACCAATCATGTGAAAGAATATGTTTTGACCAATACATGATGATAAAAAATTTGCCGGGAAAACCGCCTACTAATTCATATATTTGGTAAATTTGTTTCTCTCATGGTCTGTGAGAGATATAGGATAGTCCCATATACATCTTTCTGTGTATAGTGCTTGTAACTTTACGAAGGATGGGCCAAATTTCTTATCATTTTGATGATTCCAGAACCTTGCAGATGCTAGATGATCAACCTTTTCTGATTGATTCCACAACGTTTCTTTCACAATGCAATCGCATGACCATAACTGGTCTTTACCTTTAATTCTAGTTTTCTTTCAGTCTAGTGCATGTGTATTCTGTTTGTTTTTTCTTCTGTATAATGTGGTCTGAAGTTTAAATCAGCGAAACTATTACATGCAACAAGCCTAGCCTCTTAAGTAGGTTCAATTTTCATTTCCGTATTTCATGATTTACAGAACACTTTTTCAAGTCATAAATTACTAGGATTCAGGATTATTTATTTCCATATCACTCTAAAAACAAATTTGTAAAATGTATTATGTTTTGATAATTTTGCATGGAAGATGAATAAATGCAAACAATCAAACAAACAAACATTTAGTATTAGGTAAGTTGTTTTTACCTGGCTTTGAAACTGCCAATCGAATTTTGACAAATACTTGAAAATACAAAATTACCATTCAAGATGGTAACTGTTTTTAATTGGATATTGCTCACTAAATTTTCACTGACCTGTTTGTCTAATTATGCTACTTTTGTTAATACCAACTTATTATCAGCGTGGAATTCCCTTTAATCCATTCAAAATCACACATGAACATATACACTTACAAACAAGGTTTGTGTAGTGATTCAATAAAGAACAACGAACATAGAAATAATCATCATTGCCCTTATCATAAGGTGCTAGCATATACAATTTTATTCTTTTTTCTTGCAAGAGGTCATATAACAGAAAGAAAATATAATATTTGCTTGTATATATACATGTACCGTCTTACAAAATATATAGCTTTACTTTAAGTATTCACATATATATCTAGGCACACACTTTATCACATTAACCGGTATACTGTTTTGAATTCTTCACAATATATGTGATGTTCAAGATTGCATCTAGAATGAAGTTACAAAATCAAGTACTGAGTGTAACAATACAGTAAACATCATGTTTTTCAATATTATAAATTCCTCATGAACTTGTATTGCCCCAACAATTTCAAAAATTCATCATTTTGTAATAAATCATATTTTTTCCATTCTCACTTTCTCTCTTTTTCTCTCTTTCTCTCGTTCTCTTTCTCTGTTTCTCTATCTCTCTCTCTGATTCTCTATCTATATCTCTATATCTTTCTCTTTCTCCCTCTCTCTCTCTATCTCTCTCTCTCTCTCTCTCAATCTCTTTTTCTCACTTTTCACTTTCTCATACACACAACAGCTTGAGTATTGCTGAATAATCCTTTGGTCCTTTTTTCACAAAGAAAAATGGCCTTTGAATGAATGCCCATTTATCAAACTCTATAAGTACTGGTAAACATAAAAGGTGCATTAACAAATATGCCTGATTACATAAAGTTCAAATGAAAATGCACAGGAAATGTCTCACTTGGTTCATAAATACAGTGAGACCTGTCTATAAAGACCACCCAGGGGAGAAAAGAAAAGTGGTCTTTATGGGCAGGTTGTCTTTAAGTACAGGTTCTTTTAGTACATGTTTCAATGAGAAACCATTATCAAGGGAAACCAAAATGTGGTCTTTGTAGACAGGTGGTCTTTCTATACAGGTGGTCACTAAAGCAGGTTTGACTGTAACTGGTGTTCATGGCACAAAATTTTTTCACCAAGAAGGCATTTTCAAAATATTGATTCTAGAATAACACTCAAGTGATAGAACTATGCATTCCTTCCCACCAAGATGCATACAAATTGACTCACCTTTACAAAATGCATAGTTTTTAAACCTACAGATATTGTAACACCGTAAAAAGAAAGAGGTATATTTTTTTTTACCTGGTGGCATTTTTTGCAGCAAAGAAGTGAGGATTTGTGGTTCATGTTTCTGGATGGGGGGAGGGGGGGGGGGGGGGGGGGAAGGGGGACATTAGTTTCCAATACATTCATACCTGATGATCAATCCCATATCAAGACATCTGATTAATAAACATACATCATGAAATATGTTCATACAAGTCTTCATGAGAAAAGAAGCAATATGTGATCACGTCACTGAAACATTAATGAGTACTCCAAGTCTCAAACGTCAAAAAATAGCTTTGAATAAAGACATGATTCTTCTTCTCACAAGATGAAAACCTACAGTTTGTTGCCAATCTAAGCTTTCTGAAAATTATGTCAAATGCTATTCTACATGTAGGTAGTATTTAATAGCAGGTCTTATGGAATTTCAATTAGAATATTTGCCATTTTCCCTTTGAACACCGCCCACCCCCCCCCCCCCCCCCCCCTGCCTTGAAAAAAGCATTGTTGAAGGTTGATGAAAAAAACAGAATTTTTGTATAAAATTTTACTTATTATATTCCTTTTACTGTAGTAACCCTCTAACATGCTAAAAATCCTGAAAAATTCTCAAACCACATATTTTTTTAAGGTGTCACTGTGCGACACCATCTTACAGTAAATTCTCCCAACCATTTTTGAATTTTCCCAACCGTTTTTCCATGAAAATAAGACACGTGACAGGCTTTTAAAAAATCTTTTAACACTAAAATGTCTGGAATGGTATATAGAGCCAATTCACTGCTTTGTGACGATTTACATTCACATAAAATGTAATTAAATTGCAATAATATAGTTAGGAGAATTAAAGAATTGATAACTTCAGTTTTTCAAAAAAAAAATCAATAATGGTCTGTTTTCACTCAAACTTTCAGACTATCTTTAATTGTACATCAAGCAACGTAGTCACTACCTAAGCACCATTTTCTCTCATCTGAACAATGTTACCAAGTCCCTTTAATAGAGCTTCAACATAAATTGTAACATAGAGGATAAAAAGATAGAAACTATAAAACCTCGCAGCTTGAAACCTGGTCATCACCATGGTATCACTTGAAGCTCTATTAATAGAGCTACAACCAGTATTACTCCATAGAGGATATAGAGATAGATACCATAAAACCTCGCAGCTTGGAACCTGGTGATCACCATGATGAACATGGACGATAGAAGACTCACCGCTAAACCCAGGGCAAGAACTAACTGGACATGGTCTGTGTGGAGCTGTTAAAAAAAACATGGCAATAGGGCTTTTTAGTAATGTATTAAACCAAATTTATGCATATGCCTTTGTGAAGCACCTCATATAAATTATTGAATTCACCTGTTCCGAATAAATGTATTTCAATAGCCAGAATTCAAATTGCATTCATTATTTGTTGCTAAGTAGGAAAATCATTATGGCATGCCCTACCTAGCAACACACAATATATGTAATTTACATTCTGACCATTGAAATACAATTATTCTTAACAGGTAAATGAAACAATTTGTATCGTGCAGGAATATATTCAGAATGGATGAACATCCAATTTGGAGCAGTAAGGCTCATAATTAGAGGACCCCAAATACAGCTACAATCCTACATTCTGTTTTTATCACATTTTATTGCCCAGTCTCCAAGAACAGAGAATATTTCTTTCAAGTCCTAACCTAATACTGACAACAACCATTATCATTGCGTGTTATCGATTGATATCAATTGCAAATAGGTTGCAAATAATTTCAACTCTTTATAAGATGGGGCCTTGGAGTATAAAAAATGTATCAATGTCATAATTATGAATGGAGGGAAGACAACAACAACAATTTGAAAGATTGCATGTCGAGAATGCACCCCGACCACAATTAAAGGGATCTTTGTCTCAGATTCTGAAACAAAATCCTGGATTTAGCTCAAGCTGCAATGATAATGATAAACCTTTAGGTCAGTCAGGAACCCCATGACTTTTACAAGCCGATCGCCTGTCTGATTATCAAGATATTTATGATTGGAAATTAACGGTTTTCATAACACTGCAGTCTATTGGGGAAAACGAGTATGTTAAAACCCGTCACTCAAAGATTTTTACTTTTTTGAGGCATTTTTTGATATTTTGAAGCGCAATTTTTAAAGCGCTTCAGTCTTACACCATATCACAAACACTAATAACATGTACCTAGGGCCGTGCATCTCAGATTTAACATTGTAAAAACGATGCCTTAAAGACGACTTACCACAAATGTCCCCCCATCTCGGACTGTGACAATGGTACATGATATACCAATACCTAGCAGCATATCTGGGCAGCGCAAAGGGTTAAGAAAGAAACTGAAATCAAGCAAGGCATTTCATATTTTTTAGAGGCCCATCACATATATTTCCTATAATGAATATATATTAAATCACCTTGAAACTTAGAAAAAGAAAAGAAGCAATTCACAATATAATAACAATATATTGATAAAGAATACCATTCTAACAAATAAACCTTCAAAAACTACTTCAACAGATGTTATACAAAGAAACTGTCTTCATAACGGTTAGGAGTAGACATGGCCAATCCCATGGAAAATGTTCACTAGCCCAAAATCATAAATTTGGCAATCACTCAACAAATATTATTTCCTTGTTCATTCGGTGTCATGTCCGTTTTAACAGTCACTATGGCCCGAATTCACAAAGGAGGTTTAAATTTAACCCATGGTTTAAATCTTCATTTATGTAAATGAGGGGTTTAAATCATGGGTTTAATTTAAATCTCCTTTGTGAATTCGGGCCTAAATTTATTTTCTTTTGAAATATTCGGTGGAATACTCTGAATTTGTATATGTATGAGACTGATAGTCAAATGTGTCTGAATCACTGAGTGAAATATGTTTTAAAAACTCTTAAATTTGTTTAAAACTGTCTTGAATAATCTCTCTTATGTCATGAATAAGCCAGTTCACGGTTGCACTCCGAGCATGAGCAGATAAAGGTCATTGCAGAACAAATTGTGAAATACACAGAGACAAAATACTGGATATAGGTGCTCATGAAAGTTTTTTTATCATTAATAATTTATTCACAAGCAGTGCACTCCATTATCCACAGATGGAAGTATTCTTTGAAAAGGGGAAACAAAGGCTATTTATGTAGCACCTCCATCGCTGTTTATTTCAAAATGTACAAAGTGGGACCTCTTCATGTTTTGAAGATCTGTGGATATTCGGGGTCATTTTGGACATGTGCTAACCGCGAACTGGGGGTGTCTCACAAAGACTAAGATGGACTTTAACTTGGACTTAACTATGGCACGCTGTTCAAGCCACTGTTTGCTCTGCCCATTATTATTTTTAAATAATATTTTTTCCTTCAATACTGAATTGTCAAAAAATGTAAATTCTGTAGTTATGTGACCATGATTTGTACGTCTCTTGAGAGACCAATGCCAGTAAATGGTGAGAGCAAATAGTGGCATGAACGGCGTGCAATAGTCGAGTCCAACTTAAAGTTGATCTTAGTCTTTGTGAAACACCCACCAGGTCTATGAATAAAATTTGTAAAAGATACTGAACATAGGTCCTCCAAAGCAAGCTGACATGCCCATTGTGGGGAATCCTTGCCTGGCCATTGCAACATCAGCTACTAGATCTGAAAACAGAGAAATGTAAGGATTAATAACATTGCATATATTATCACAAATGAGTGCTGAACCCCAAATTCTCCAGATATTCAGACATCGTCTTTGCAAAATCGAATGGAAGGTTAAAGAGCAATCCAACCTTAGTGGTGGTGGTAGTAGTGGTAGAAGTAGAAGTAGTAGTAGTGGTAGTAGTAGAAGTAGTAGTAGTAGTAGTAGTAGTAGTAGAGGTGGTAGTAGTAGTGGTAGTAGTGGTAGTAGTTGTAGTGGTATTAGTGGTAGAGGTAGTAGTAGTAGTAGTAGTAGTAGTAGCAGTAGTAGTAGTAGTAGTAGTAGTAGTAGTAGTAGTAGTAGTAGTAGTAGTAGTAGACTCTATTGGATAACTTGTTTAGCAACAAGGCTAATCTACCACTAGGTCCATGTGGTCAAAGTGAAGAGCCACATCAAAGCAAAAATTGCCCAGCTAAGAATAAGGCATGAACCCTCAATGTACCTAGCGCCCAAGATAGGATTTGTAGACAACTTTTTTTTTATCACACTAAGCCTAGCTTCCCAGGAGAATGACTAGTTTCTCCTCTGAATGTCAAAATGTATCACAAGGTCTTGAACACATAGCCTATCCCTCCTCTCATCCTGATTTCCCAGTCCAGTGCACAGGGCTATCTACAAACTCTTGACTCTGAACTACAAAAAGGAGAAGAAGAAGAAGGGGGAGGAGAAGAAGAAGAAGGAGGAGAAGAAGGAGAAGAAGAAGAAGAAGAAGAAGAAGAAGAAGAAGAAGAAGAAGAAGAAGAAGAAGAAGAGGAAGAAGAAGAAGAAGAAGAAGAAGAAGAAGAAGAAGAAGAAGTAGAAGAAGAAGGAGGAGAAGAAGGAGAAGAATGAGAAAGAGGAGAAGAAGAAGAAGGAGAAAGAGAAGAAGGAAAAGAAAGAGGAGAAGATAAAGGAGGAAAAGAAGAAGACAGAAAAGAAGAAAAACTTCTTCATGTGTCAAAAAGGATAAATTCAATGAGACACTTTTACTGATGTTAGATATTTATCTGCAATTAAGAGCCTCTATACAGTGCTTCCCAGAAGAAACGAAACCGAGAATTTTCCATGTTTTATCATAACTTATGATTATAATTCATAAATGACACATATTTGTTAAGCTTAGATCCTCCTCTTTCATTTGATGCAACTCATATGATGCATATTTCATGCATGAGTGATTAAAATTAAATTGAAGAAAGGGTACCAAAAATTCATTTGGCGGACGGTATCTGAATTTCAAAGAGAAAATCACATTTCTAGAAAGTTCATTTTCTGCCCTTTCATATGACACCTCAATCAGGAAAAATGAGCTAGGAAAAACAAAGTTCTGTTTGTTTAAAGAAATGCTTGCATTTCAATCAGTTTATTAAACAAATTGGTTTTCACCGGCTGCCTGCTGTACAGCCGTAGCAACAAACAGAATTGACAACAGATTTAACTCCGTTTCGTTGACAATCAGCCATGCATGAAGTCTTTCGTCCATGACATTTTAGTACCCTTTCTTCAAATAGATTTCAATCACTCATGCGTGAAATATGCATCATATGAGTTGCAGCAAATTAAAGTGGATGATCTAAGCTTTACAAATATGTGTCATTAATTAATTATAATTGTAATTGAGTTATGATAAAACATCGATAATTCTCGGTTTTGTTTCTTCTGCGACGCACTGTATATCTAACACACAGTTTTGACATACCTCCAATGCTGTTTCCCCAAGCTAGGACCGTAAGACCAAGGATAGCATCATTGATGAAGAATTCCACACCAAACATCTATAACGTATTGATAGAAACACATTAGTAGCACATCCTTTAAACCATAATGGTTTCTTTTATGTAGTAGCAAGCAATCTTTTATCCATAGTTGGCAATTACTTATTAAAAATAAGACCTAAGTAGGTGAAAATAAAAAGTCCTGAAACCTATTTCACAACTGATGTTCTGTGCCCTTTGGCATATACAGTGGCGAACGCAGGATTTTTTTAGGGGGGGGGGGGGGGTCCAGAATTTGTTGAAAAATTTCGCAACAAAAATTTTTGTCCCGAAAATTTGGCCGACTGATATTTCGTTCAGTTGGGGAGGGGGGGGGGAGGATGGGGTAAGGTCATCATATTCTGGTCACCCTTTAGCACATTTTTTTTTAATTTTTAATTTTTTAATTTCGTTATTAAAAACAATAAGGGGGAGGGGGTTTTCCTCCAAAACACATACATAAAAAAAAATTGAGGGGGGGGGGGGGTTCGACCCCCAAACCCCCCCCCCCCCCTGCGTATGCGCCTGGGCATATATCTAAAGACTGAATGAGCTCAGTTATCTACAGAATTTAAATATTTTTGGTTGCTAGTCAATTCCAGAGCAACAAGTTGGGTTATTTAAGATAGTTTTAAGCAAAATCAAAAGCCCCAAAACTTATTTCATTTAGGGAATGAGACACATTTGACCTATTGTTGCTAGATGTTACAAACATTATGGTTTGTCCTACCCCAAAACATGCAAGGTATGAATTTGAATTCCGACTATTAAAATGCAATTATTTGTAACAGTTGAATGAAATAATTTGTAACAAGGCCTTTTACAAAGATTTGTGCATTACATTTGATTAATTACAAAAATGACCTATTGTAATGGACCTTTTCAATGCAAAAAGCTTTCTCAAATTGCAAAATTTGAATGCACGTCATGCCGTTAGCTAATTATTCCACAGCATGAAGCTTTTATGAAAATGTAATGAATGTGAAACTTTCAGGTTTTACAGTAGACTAAAAACGCCCTCTGTTGGCATATACGGCAAAGTCATATCATTATTACCAATGTATTTATTCATCAAATCAGAAGTTTTTACATCCATAAAATAAAAATGTATGTATGGCTACTAATAGAATAACTATTTTCTATTTTATCAAAGAAAACATTACCAACCTGTAGAATGTTGACAATTTCATTTGCAGTAGAATAAATCCATAGCACAGCTACAACGAAACCTACATATGAAAATACCTGAGGAGTAAAAAAAAAATTAAAGTATATATCTATGTTTTACATAGACAATATACACCCACAAGAAAAATGGTACATAACCCAAATACAAATAGAATGAATGCGACTGCGTCTCCAATATGCAATCGCCTTGTAGTCTGTTAATTGATCGACAACTCTTTAACATCTACCAGTAAGTCATCTGATCTCATGGAACCCAAAGTCATTTTTACTTAATCTTTTAGTACTCAAACAAACTTAAGCCCAGTTTGGTATAAAATGGTTCAATTTTTGTTGAGTTATCACAGTATTACAATATTTTCTAGGATTCATAATCCTTAAATCTCTTACACCTTCATGTATCAATTCATTCTCAATAGCTCTTTATTACAATGTACATACTCATACATACAATAACCAGGTTTGATTTGATGGGTTTCATTGTAAGTTATTGTAGTAAAAAGATTTTTATCTGGTATTTTAAACACTTTTGTGAACCTGCAACCTTTGACCCGTGACCTCTCCCACCCAAAATCTAATCACTCATCCTTGCATGCTCATACATACTTCATCAAAATTTGGTTAAAATCTGCAATATGGTTTCTCAAGTAATCCCAGTAACGAAAAGCGGGGCAGACGGACAAACAATCCCAAAGCATTATGCCTCCGCCACCAATGGCAAGTAATTCATAATTTCTAACAAGTTATATCTATATTCAAACATTTTCTTCCACTCAAGAAGCTTGTCACATTGCATACCGGTAGTAGAATACAAAAAAATGTGAAAAGTATTACATATTAGGGAGCCTAGCATAACAAAGTGTATTGTGAATTCGTTTCTCTGGTTAGAGGTGTGGGCATAACATACTGGTTTCCCCTGACTTTGGGTGGTTTTTCAAATAGGAAATCTTTCTTATTTTGAATTGCTTGATGGTTTCAAATAAAAATCAAATCTTTGTGTCTACTTACTGCGTGATAGACTGGCTGTTTCTTTGGTTTAGATGTCAAGAATACTGCAGCGGCTAACAAGAATGATATAGGCAGAACAAGGTACCATACCACAAAACCACCAGTTATAGTTTGGGTTAAACCTGGAGTATAAGGTGAAATAGAGAGAGAGAGAGAGAGAGAGAGAGAGGGAGGGAGAAAGAGAGAGGGAGAGAGAGAGAGAGAGAGAGAGGGGAGGGAGAGGGAGAGAGACAGAGAGAGACAGAGAGAGAGGGAGGGATAGAGGAAGAATGAGAAAGTAAGAAAGGAAAAGGTATCGTCAAATCAACAATAAATTTATGATCTCATTGTCTACACATTTTACATATTCCCTATTTCAATATGCAGTATGTCTGCTCTAAAAGGAAAGTCTATCCTTCAAATAAGTTGGTTTTATATATAAAGAAACAGATCAATGGAAGTTTGGGGAAAATTTGAAGAGGGATAGAAAAAATAATTAATTTGTTATCGATCAAATATACATTTGTAACTCATTGACATACATGTACCTGGCACCTCTTTCATTTGTTCTCAACTAAAAATTTCAATTTTTGTTGTTGTCATGTCAGAAAATATTTCATTATACAGGGTTCTGTCTCCAAGATACATGTAAGTAATGCTGGGACACACGTTCTTACACATCATTTCCACGAGAATTATCATTTTCTTCACCAAAAAACATGAAATTTGAAACTAATGGAATTTTCAATTGCAAGCAAACGAGAGTAGTAACCATGAGCCACATTACAAATGTTCACAATTTTTGTGTCATCAAAATGCAACTTTAAAAATGAATAACATCCTTATCCTGTTTCTTTTTTTTTCTTCTCAGAATCTAACTTTCTTGTTTCCACACTTTTCCAGTCTTTATTACAATCAATGTACCGGGTATTTACACAATGAATTTCTCCATCAAAAAGACTTTCACATGTTTAATTGTAAAAATATGGCAACAATAATATGGCAGAATTGATCAATATAGAATGTGGAAAAAATGTTCTACAAAACGAGGTAAGTGTTTATCACCTGCAGAAAAAGACATTCTATTAGTATACAATTTGTAAAGTTATTAATATTTTTTGGGTTGGTTCTCCAACATGTGAACAGTAGCATCGATAAATGACAAGCAGGCAATGGATCTGTACAGGTTAAAGCAGTAAAACAGTACAACTGTCTCATACACCCACAAACAATCTACCTAAATACAGAAGGGACGCTAGATATGTTACATGCGGTATATATATGTACCGGTATTTTATAATATAGGTCAAATGCTAAGTTATGTTCCAACTGAAAACTTTGGCACAGATACACGTAGCTTGATGGTTGTAATATTAGATAGTAAAATCAAATTTTGGGCAAGCACACATACTTGTTTCCAACAACTTTGGCAATTTTTTACTACGATGTCAATTTCATAATTGCTATTCACAGAAATGTACAGGGAGGGTTTGGAGACATTAAATTCCCTGTTAAAGGGATTGGGTATCTTTGTCTCAGATTCTGAAACAAAATCCTGGATTTAGCTCATGCTGCAATGATAACTATAAACCTTTAGGTCAATCAGGAACCCCATTACTTTTACAAGACGATCCCCTGTCTGATTATCAAGATATTTATGATTGGAAATCGAAACCAAATTTTGCGGTTTTCATTACACTGGTGTATTGGGGAAAACGAGTGAGGTAAACCGGTCACTCAAAGATTTTTACTTTTTTGAGGCACTTCTTGAACATTTAGAGTCGCAATTTTTTTAGGGCTTCAATATTACACCATATCATAGACACTGATAACATGTAGGGCCGTGCATCTCAGATTTAACATTGAGAACGATGCCTTTAACGTAATATAAGAGTGGGGAAAATATGCACCTACCTTTGGTAACAAACGCACAGAATACTGGTGCTAAGAAAAGATTAAGAGTGTTTAATAATCTATTCCAGTTATGCTTTGGTTCGTTGTAGTCCACCACTGGAACCGTCGCTTTTAAACATAATAGCATGGGGCACTGAAAAGATGGGAAAAACAAAATGTTTCATGCTGCTTATAAGTATCTGCTTGCATCATGATGTAGATATACAGTAGGCTGACGGTTGCAGCATGTGAGAGAGAGGGGAGGATTGGGAAGTCCTGAAAATGACTGTCAGCAATCTTTCTTTCTTGAGTGTGTGTCTATAGTCCTAAAAAGGACTGTTGGTAATCTATCTTTGAGCTTATAGTTCTAAACAGAACTATAGCGCCGGTTGGAGCGGTTAGGTAGTTGGAGAGGCTCAACGTTTCAAACAGGTTGACTATCCGTCGTCAGGAGTGGGGAATAGCTGGCGTGCGGGGGCTCAAGTCACCGGGTTGCAGATGTGGGCGTGCTTTGTGTCTGTGTGGGCTTGGGTCACCGGGTTGCGGACGTGGGTGAGCTACGTTTCCGTCTGGGCTGGGGTCTCCTTTTCAGCACCACACACACTCTCAAGAAAGAAAGATTACCGACGGTCCTTTTCAGTGACAGTCCTTTTCAGGACTCCTCAATGCTCCCCCTCTCTCACATAGTGCAACCGTAAGCCTACTGCATAAAATGTTTCATGCAAATCAAAATGCAAATCAAAATGCAAATCAAAATGCGAAAACTAAATGCATGGAACTGGAAAGTAAAATTGCTGTAACAAAATACTGATTTGAAATTACAAATCTTTCATGAAAGGTTATGCAATAAATATTTGAACAAATTTAGTATAAGAGATTAGATTAAATTGAAAAGGTTATTTATAAACATTTAAAGCCCCAGCCAAAAGCTGACACATGTTGAATCAGCAAATAAAACTGCAACATATAACATACATGCAAATAGTACAATATAAAATAGGCAAATATGAAAGTAAAACATCCAGTAATTAAATTGATAAAAGAAATTATGAGAAGAAGAGAAAGAAGAAATGCGAAGAGACAGAAGAAATATGAGGAGAATTGTACAGTTTTAATTCTTCAACTAAAATTATGGAATCATATATTATGAGCATGTCACAATCTTAAAGGGATAGTTGAGTTCTGTTGCAGAGGGCACTACACAAAATAATTTTTTGTGAGATAATGAAAAACTGAGTGTCAAGTTTGAAAGAACATACAATTTAAATGACAAAATCATCTTTGTTTGATAAAAAACGGTTCAGAGACAGCTGAAATATCCATAAATATAACGATTTCTAATACTTGTGTACCACCACAAATATTAGATAATTTGAAGAAAAAAACATTGAAAAAACGAAATAATGAAGGGGCACTTTTTTGTAGGCATTTTCATGTTGGTTATATTATGCACAACTAGCAAGCCCATGTATTGTTACTTTTAATTAAATAATTAATTAACGGTCACCATATTTTTTCAAAGTGGAGCTGAATTGGTATGATCGTATTGGCTAAATTTCACATATTTTGGGGTCTAAAGTTACCCTCATAGCAATTTTAGGTTCTAAAAGGGCACTCGAAATGTCATAGATATGAATAAGAGCAATAACCATGCACTTTGAAAGGCATGAAAACTTCTGAAAACAGAACTCAACTATCCCTTTAAAGATAAACTTGAGTTCTTGTAGATATAGAAAATAAATTCTCACAGAATACAACGAAACTAACACTGAATGTTCAAGATTACAAATAAATGACTTGTGCCAAACAATTTTGGTAGAAAATGTATAGTGGCCGAGTAATGAGCAGAGAATGATGAGGAAATCTTGGTAAGTGCGCCCGACACGTACCATGTGCTTTACACAGGTCACTTTGTGCTAATAGGAGCTGTGATTTTTATCAAAGATAATTCCCAGTTATTTTTGTGCATTTGTTTTTATTTCACTGGTTCAAACAACCAGTCTACTGCAGAATAAACAATCCAAAATAAATCAGAGCAATTTTCTCTCAAAATACAATTCCCATACCAGAGCTCAAGATTAGCTTTAATCTATAAAAGAAAAAATGATAAAACAAATCAAATTCCTTTAATGATGATTTATATATGCATTGATGAAATCTCTACACCCGGCCAGAGAGGTAAAGGTGTTGTGGTCTAGGTGATACATCATCAGACTGTGGATCACATGGTTGAAGTCCCCCCATGGCACTAATGTCCATTTGCAGGACATTAATCCACATTTGCCACCCTCCATCCAGGTGTAGTAAATGGATACGTGGTAGGAATTAATTCCTGAAATACTTTTAGCACATTAGGGCAACTAGGTAATGATTGTACTTTGTAGGACCCTTGAGCATCCCCTGGGATGGATATGTATGCAATAACAAATTTAGCTATTATTATCATTACTATAACCTAAAAATAAACGTCATTTAAAGACCGTCAATACTACTGGGCCAGAAGGGATTAGACCACACAGCGAGGTCACTGACAGGTGGCTATCTCATTAACTCAGCTCTCAACTAACATAAGAAAAAGAAGATCATGGGGGACCAACAGGCACCGGTTGGGTAAGTTTTCTATATAGAGGGAGCAAGTAGCTACAAGTAGGACAGTGGGGCTTTAAAACTACTATTCCAAACGAAGAATATCCATCATTAACAAATATTTACCATACCTTTATTAGCTCCCATATCTTTAAATAGCAGGCAAGCTCCTTCCATTCCTTCAGATCGACAGGACAAAGACCAATAAAGAATTCCTTCACTTGACCAGGGGGAGGGGCTTCACTTCTCACGAGGGGTTGAGACTCTGCAACAGTGAACAAAATTGGAAGATAGGTTTCAATAACAAAAATGATATATACATATATATAAATATAAAAGTGCGAGAATTCTCAACTCTGACATGACAACGGGTGTGCCAGAATATGTAGGCGTGAAGAAAATGGTCTAAGAGCGTGTGACATAGCTGTACTTTACAATTTTATTTATATAAATATATATTTATATATATATAAATACATATATAACATTACATGCTGTATTAACAGGACATCTATATATAACCCTAAACGGCACATTAATTCTACTGTTCCATCGTTAACAGGACATGAAAATGTCCTGCTAATGACCATGTCTACTTAATGACTCATTTTTCACTACATATATCCGTCTAATGACGCTGTAAGGTATATACATTTTTTTAAATATGTTGTTCATAATAGTGAGAAAAAGCACTTGTCCAATAATCCAGTGAGTAGTAATTCTGCATGTGTTATCTCTTGAAATGTTTCATACAAAATAAGAACATTTCAAATCTCAACGAACTGCCTTAAACCAGTTTAATCTGAAATCTTAAATCATTTCATAGTTTTGCTTTTTCTATTTGATCTTATCCTGCAGGCTATACAAGGATAGTTGGTGCTAATGAATTAGCATATGAGTGGATTGTAGTAATAACAGTATAAAAATAGCTTTAGTGTTTTTGTAATGAACCACTTATCCTAAAAGATTTGTTTAAGCCAAGAAAAATAGGTGAATACCGAGAGAAATGAAAGTATAAACAAAATAATATCCCTTACATTTGGATCATTGCATCATATTTTGGTATCAATTTCTAAAAACAACAAACAAAAATGCTGCAATTTTTTGTTAAGCTTGTAAAATGAATGCCAACTGCCGGCAACAAAGAACTCGAGTTTTGTGTTATAAGATTCAGAAAGGTGAAGCGTAATACACTGAACATCAGCATAACAAACCAACTCGGTTTTGCTGTGTCATAACTGTACGAGTCAGGTAATGCAAAGTTTTGGGAAATTTTGAAATTAGGATGGATAGTAATTCTTGCAAATTTTGATATAATCGGATGCCCCTGTGGATGTATTAAAGGTAAAGACCAGTATTGGAAACGCCCCAATTTCAAAAAATGAAATGGAAGCTCTTATTACGAATCATGTGAAAGAATATGTTTTGACTAATACATGATGATAAAAATTTTGCTGGGAAACCGCCTACTAATTGATATATTTGGTAAATTAGTTTATCTATTGGACTGTGAGAGATAAACGCACGTGTCGTGCACAGGTGCGTAGTCCCATATACATCTTTCTGTATACAGTGCTTGTAACTTTACGAAGACTGGGCCAAATTTCTTATCATTTTGATGATTCCAGAACCTTGTAGTACACACCAATACTTATATGCTAGATGATCAACCTTTTCTAATCAATTCCAAAACGTTTCTTTCACAATGCACTCGCATGACCAGAACTGGTCTTTATCTTTAAAAGCACTAGAAAATTTAGCCCCTAAAACACTCTGCTTTTGAGAAAACTGAATACCAGTAATCATTAATTTGAAATATTTTAAATAGCACCTAAGGATATTCCATGGTAGCTGGGACCATGAAAATCTCAGAATATGCAGTTCTGATATATAATTTCCAAACAGGAATAGCTAATCGGTCATTTGTAGTCAACAAACATTGTTTTAAAGCTACCGGTAAAGTAATATCAGTCCTGAGAGGGAGCTATACAACTTAAAGAGTTTATTATTTACAATTTCATCACTTTAGACTTGACTTTTAACCGCGACAACGATCATTGAATATTGTAAAGTCGCATATGCTTCCAATACGTTCATTGGAACTGAATTCATGACCCCATACCAAAACTTTGTATTACCTTTAAAGTAGGTTACAACACTTATTTTTAGCTGCTACTAGAGCGCACCTATCTAGGAGACAGTCTAGATACAAAGAAGCACCTACCATAATCATTACTATCATGGTCACTGGTATGATGAGGTAGAGGTGTGATGCTACGAACAACGTCTCCGTCTACTCCTAGTATACTAGCCACAGCTAACCTCTCCGTGGCAGAAAGGTCGCCTGTCATGCATGAAAGTAGGAATTCACCGATAATAAGAATTACAATGGCACTATCAACTGAATCAAATCATGCACAGATCTACAATAAACTGCAATAAAAAAATTCAATTAAAAAAGATCGTCCACATTAAATTCAAACAGAAATTTGCCTCTTTAGTATTTTTTTAAATATTTTTTTTGTTATAGCTGTCTCATCATTTCATTTATATGCAATGAGGAGAAAATGTCAAATTATTTACAAGTATCATATTTTGGAATTTTCTATTGGTTATCTTTATTTCCCAAATGATTCTGATTGGTATTTTTTTCACAATCCCCGAAATTGGAATCATACTTTCAAGATCTCTTAAAGCATATCAAGTTTCAGACTACAGTACAGCAGGCGGCAAATATATGGTTAAAATTACGCAAAATAGGAGAAAACATATTCATGCTGCTTTAACACTACTTTGCCTGATCCTAGTTTCTCTGTCTGTTTAGTAACTCTCAACGAGCATGGAGTTTGGTATTCTGTTCTCCTTATCAAACTTTGGGAGAATAGTTTCTTGTGTCTATAAATTTTCCATGACACACTTGAGAAAGAAGCAGTTTCATGTAATATAAATGTTCAATGGGATTTTTTACAACACTTTGGAATATTCACATGATGTAACAAATGAAACAGGGACTTTTTATGAGGAGGAAACAAAGAACATTATATACATCTACATACATACATCTCATTACAGTCAATGGATCTTGTATGGTCAATATAATATTGCTGGGTGTGCCAATCAATGAAAGAAATCAAATGAATAAATTCTACCAGGTTCTATACATGCTTTAAAAATATTATAAAAACTAATTAAGCCATCAAATAACACATTCAAACAATCAAACCACTTACATGATAGTATGAGTTACTATCATGTAAATGGTAAACCAAATAATGCACAAAATATTGAATTCAATATAGAATTGGTTGAGGCTGTGCTATGTTGTCTATCAATGTAGTCAATGCAAGCTTCATATGTTAACATTTTTTGCTTTATTTCCAAGTATATTCTCTGTATCCTCTATTTTTCTCCTGAAAAGACGCTTTATAAATAAAACGTTATTATTGCAACATGATAGACATTGATATTTGGGGGGTACAAACCTCTCCTGAGAATAGCACCATTGACGGGAACTACATCGTCGAGGTGACTGTTAATACTAGGTACAACATGGGTGGAATTTATGCTTGTACCGAGACTAGGGAAGTGAAGTGAAGAATTGATGCTTGGATGAAGAGCAGTGGTAGGAACTACGAGGTGTGAAAACAACAGTAACAGAGTGAGGGGATATACAAACGAAAATGAAAACAAAACAGGTGGGTGTTTCACAAAGATCCTAAGTTGATCTTATCTCTAAGTAACTTAATAGTTATGGAAAGCCATTAGTATCTTCAAAAATATTTTGTACGAGTCATTTTAAAAGGCATAAAATGTTGATATAAATCATTCATATTTCCTATTATCATGGCAGATTTCAAGTTCTTGATGTGAATTTATGAAAAGTCTAAAATACTTGAATTTTTGCTTTTGAATATAATTCATTATAAGGCTACAAATGGCTCTCCATAATATTTAAGTCCAAGTTAGAGTTAAGTTCAACTTAGGATCTTTGTGAAACACCCCCCAGAACTATACCGTGGCTTGGTGACTGAATCATTAAACAACCCTTTTGGATTACGAGGGTAATAAAAATCTAGAACGTGATCCTAACATCAGCTTTTATCACCAACTGTGAGTGGATATACACAAAAATGAAAACAAAACAAAACCGATTCCTTGGCTCAGTGTCTGAATCATAAAAACAACCCTTTTGGATTACGTGGATAATAAAGGCCTAAAAAATGATCCTAACATCAACTTTTATAAATAGCAGTGAGTAGATATAAACGAAAATGAAAACAAAACAGAACCGATTCCTTGGCTTAGTGACTTAATCATTATAAAGATCAATATTTTGGATTACGAGGGCAATAGAAACCTAAAAAATTATCCTAACATCAACTTTTATAAATAGCAATGAGTGGATATAAACAAAAATGAAAACAAAACAGAACCGATTCCTTGGCTTAGTGACTGAATCATTATAACGACCAATATTTTGGATTACGAGGGCAATAGAAACCTAGAAAGTGATCCTAACATCAACTCTTTTTTGTGATGCTGATCATTTGAATTGTTGCTTGATGTTTTGCATTGTTTGGAGAGCAACTTGAGATGCCATCTTCCTGTAATTATTTTGTCAGATACTGGGAAAAATGAACTCAATAGCAAGTAAATGAACAAGTCAACTATCCACTAAAGATTATATTTCAATGGCTGCCATATTTGTTACAGTTTTGATTTACTGCAGTAACAGAATGACTTCTTAATGTCATTTTATAACTACAGATCATAATAAGTATAAGTATGGCGTATTAGTATGGCGACTATCAAGATTAAATCTTTCATTAACACTATGTGAAATAATGGATATTCACTGCAAAACAAAAAACAAACAAAAACACTTTGGTTTAACAGTAATGATAACATTCTGAGAAGCAAATTAAAATAGTGATATGGAGAAAATTGTCATTTTGTGCTGTAAAATTTCCCATTTCTCCTCGCTATTCGATAGACAGGTTTACTAACATATTCAAATTGTATGCATACTTTTTGGAAAGAGAGGGAGAGGGAGAGGGGGGGGGGGGGGGGGGAGGGGGGGAGAGGGAGGGAGAGAGAGAGAGAGAGAGAGATTGTTCTCGAAAACCCCAAAGCATAGCAGCAGGTAATATTATGCACACCGGTGGTGGATTCAGAATATTGTAGTTCATTCATTAATAACAGGTTAAATAAAGGAATATCTTGTCACTAGGTCCACAGGAAAGAAACATCCATACATTTGAATATGTTAGCAAACCTATCATTAGTAAAGTATACAAATTTGAATGTGAACTTATTCTATTGCTTAGGAAGAATACAATTCTAAAGGGATCACTTTTATAAGAGAAAAACAAGTATGTATTAAAAACAAGAAGTAGTGAGAGGCTGCTGAGGGGGTGAAAAGGAGCAAGGTCTGACAAGCAGAGTATTGCAACTAAGGCTATTTTCAAACACACACAGGAAATAAGATTACTAATTCATGAATTACAAAATCACAAATATGATATGAAGTCTATACATGTATGCAAACAAGAGGAAGAATTCAAGGAAAGGAGGAACACAGAGAGGAGTATATCCTCTAAGACTTCAAAATATCTTGAAGCTTATTGATCTTCATCTCCTTCTCTCATTATCTTCCCCCTCCCTCCCTCTCTCCCTCCCTCCCCCTCTCCTCTGTTTGTTTATGTCTTTGTACACAGGGGGGGGGGGACAGAAGAGAAGATCATACAACCTCTATTCCATGAAAACATCTCAAATATTTGTGATCTTCATCTCCTACTCTCTCCCCCTTCCTCCCTCTCTCTTTGATTCTCTTCTCCTCCCATCTCCTCTCCTCTCCTCTGTTTGTATATATCTCTGTACAAAGGAAGGAAACCATCTTGAATCTGTGTGATCTTCTTCTTGATCTCTTTCCCCTTCCCTCCCTCTCTCCCTCCCTCCCTCCCTCCCTCCCTCCCTCCTCCCTCCCTCCCTCGCTCGCTCCCTCCCTCCCTCGCTCCCCCTCCCTCCCTCCCTCTCCCTCCCTCCCTCTCTCCCTCCCTCCCTCGCTCGCTCGCTCCCTCGCTCCCTCCCTCCCTCCCTCCCTCCCTCCCTCCCTCCCTCCCTCCCTCCCCCTCCCTCCCTCCCTCCCTCTCTCCCTCCCTCCCTTGCTCGCTCCCTCCCTCCCTCCCTCCCTCCCTCCCTCCCTCCCTCCCTCCCTCCCTCCCTCCCTCCCTCCCTCCCTCCCTCTCCTCTCCTCTGTTTGCCTATGACAATGTCTCTGTACTCTCTTTCTAATCTCTTTTCATTCTTTCTGATACCATACCTCCTGGTGCTTGGATACGTTCCTGAGTTTCAGGAGTGTATGTTTCTACAGCTTGTTCCTGCTCCTGTCTTCTACGTTTCTGATGTTGGTATATTCTGCGTCCCACGATCACCACACTCACATACAAGAGATACAGCATTATGTAACCTGTGGACAAAAGCAATCCAATCATTTATTATTAAACAACAACTACCTTTCAAACGTTTTCATCTTATTCATGCTCTCTCTCTCTCTCTCTCTCTCTCCTCTACCTCCCTCGATCCCTACCTTAAACATGATACCTACTAAGGGTAACTTCAAAGTCAAAAAGAAGAAAAAAATAGACAATTGTATGTACCCTACATTGTCATGATTGTAATCAATATTTGGATAAAGTACATCCTTTCCTAGCTTGTTTATAAATTTGGATAAAGTACATAATTTCATAATTTGTTCATGAATTTGGATGAAGTATTTCCATTCATTATTTGTTTATACATTTGGATAAAGTACATTCTTTCATAATCAGTTTATACATTCAGATAAAGTACATTCTTTCATAATCAGTTTATGCATTTGGATGAAGTACTTCCTTTCTGGCATAGCTTGTTTATAAATTTTGATAAATTACATCCTTTCGTAGTTTGTCTTCACAGACTTTCTCTATCATCAAAGGTTTCAGGTTTTCTCATTTTGTAAAGCCCTATGTGTCCATTGCTGGATATATTGAGCAGCAGAACACCTAGTACACAATATGTTATTTATTTTTACCTGCTCTATAATCCCAATTATAGGTCTAACAATATGCTGACAACTTAATTAGATGCACCCATTACCCAGACAGGTAGAAAATAATAACTTTTGCAGATCCTTCTCTCTCCGCATTTTAAACAAAATGATTATTTTGTGAGAGGAATGCACAGAGTTGAGACAGTCTGGCGGTGTGACTGAGGTGTTGGACTGTGCAGGGGTACAGAGTAAAGCCATGGTCACAACCCCCCAAAGTAGCCTGCTCGGCGGCCGGGCGGCGAGTTTTTAGCCAATTTCGCCCGGCAACGCTTGTTTTTAGGGCATCCCTCGGTCGCCGCTAAAGTTTTAGCAGAGTTCAAATTCGGCGGTGCTGCTCACTATTCACTTTCCGCCCAAAATACGCTTGGTGGGAGACCGCTCTGGAATCGGTAGGTCATCAGGTGGTCACTGCTGGAATGCCGCAAGGAGAAGCTCCCCGATTTTGCCCAGTTTTGACCTGAAATCGACCGGCGATCAACAGGAAAATTCGACAGGGCATCGCCCAGGCATCTACAGCCTGCTCGACTTCTCCAAAAAATCGTTGGGCGATGCCTAAATTCCAGTGGCGACCGAGCAGGCTACCAAGCGGTTGGTCACCGCTCTGAGTTGTGACCATAGCTTAACAGGACTCACCTACGGCTTCCAGGAATACAATGCTGCCTTTATAGAGGATATAGAAGGTCCAGAAGGCTGCTACCAGGTAGAAGATAGCATCCCTTAAGAAAGGACGCTCAACCATCTTAAATGGTCTAGACATGGCAATGGATCCAGCCACCACCGTCGTCACAAATATACCAGCTCCTGATGTATAGAAAAAATGATATCAATGACTTCTTTAAAAAATCAACGAAAGGCAATTACAATAGTCCTGTGAATCACCTTATGACATTGACAATGAACTACTTGTATTGAGTAATCTGGACATCATTTAAAAGGGTACTGACAAGCCAAAAAAAATTGAGCAAAATCATAGAATAATTTATAAGGAAGTTACAAATTTATTTAAAAGCATGAACAACTATGGAACTTATAAAATAACTACACAAATTGCCAATTTGGTTATCAGTTTGTGATGTCATTGCCTCACTATTTATCAATTGCTTTATTTATTTTGATCCCATTAATTTCCCTTTTTATCCCCAGAAACTTAATTTCCCCATGCCTTTGCCCATTTTATATGATTTGTATTGTATTGCGTGCATTACATTTCACAAAATTTGTTATGAACTTTGAAGAATTTATACTATTTTCTGAATATTATGTATTCATAATCATTGATTTTTATATAAATAGTTTATCAAAATTCGGAGTTTTTCATGATTTAACTAAAGAAAAAAAATCTCTATATTAATAGTGCATCCACACAAAAACATATTCCTATCGATATATCTTGGATACTGGTGTAAAGAAATCAGATTTTTACGGAGAAAATTGGAAATGTATATTATCAATTTAAAGAAAACAATTATTGGATAGTGAGGGAATGACATCACAGACTCATGAGTAAGTTGCCAATTTGTCTTGTATTTACAAAGTTTTTCATGTCATTAAAAGTTCATAACTTTCTAATATTAGATATGAAATTTTGCTCAAACTTTTTTTTAGTTAGTTTGTCTGATTTTCTGCTTCTGAAAATAAGTCATTTTTGGAGTGGACTTGCCCTTTAAAATACTTTGCCAATCAATGTATGGAACACCAACCAAGATGCATGTTATACATTTCTGAAGAAAAATAACTTACCAAATAAAGCTCCGATTGCAAGGCCTGCCTCTCCATTTCTTGAGTTTGTGATTGCTGCTATGGCACTAAAGATATCTGGTGCTCCATTGCCAAATGCTAACAGTGTCACTCCGTATCAATAATAGGGAGTTAAGGATTCTCATCAGGGAAAAAAATACATGGGGGCTCGGGGCAATAATCCCCCGAAATGCCAAAAGAGCCCCCGAAAGTCATAAAAGAGCCCCCAGAATTTGCATAGAGTTCGATGCAAAAACAAATTAAAGAGTGTTATTTTCATGCAAGCAAGCTTGAAAAGTTTAATAATTTTTTCCCTGATTCTCATAGGGTATTTCAAGAGGCTTTCAACATTGGAATTTATGCATCTGATTCTTTTCACACTAAAAACAAATTACTTGGAAAAGATTAACATAACTACGAAGTTAAATCTTGTACAAAAACACTGTTATCAGTAATTTTATGATCATACACATGCTGGATCTGCATCTTAAGTACAAACACACCCACACAAAAACACAATAAATACATATTATATATATTTATATATATATATAAAAACGTGTATATTTGTCATATAAAGTGTTTCCCGTCCAATTTTTTTATTAGCTTATAGTACATATCCTGTTAAGAAGTAGAACGGTTAAACTGTGTTCAGAACACTTTTGTTTATTAATTAAAAAATAAAATTGAAAGTGAACACATTAAAACCACAATTAAAAGATTGTGTTTATGATAAAACTTAAACACTATTCAATTCCAGCATTATCAGACTGCTTTTAGTTTTATATGCAGATCATATTGATGGCAGGGTATTAGCTAGAACAGTTTCACATCACCGTATGGGTAGAAATATATGTATAATAAATAATTAAAGGTAATTAAAATAATCACCATGGAATCAAATAACAGTTGTTATAGCCAGCAAATCATAATTAAAACATTCATAACAATTACAGCTTGCTTAAGGTATTGGGCTAGAGGAAGTTTGAAAATAGATATTCATATACTTAAGAAAGCAACATTTGGTTTTCATTACTTTGAACACATATTTTATTGGGAAATATGTCATTTGGAACAATACAATTAATCATAGTTACAACTATTAGTCTAATGGGACCAGCCCTTGACTTCAGAGTTTCTTCATCTTTTTATGATAAGATTATTCAAACTATTGAAGCAATAATATTGTGCATTTAACTATTAAAGCCACCTTAATACTACAAGTAATTTGCATTACAACCAAATGCTTATGGGTTAATATCAAACTAGGGTGTAATTTGAATTCCACAAGATAAGATATCAAGTGTTTACAATTAAGTTGTGATAAAAGTAACTGGTCTAGGATATCCTCCCCTTCAAATCACAATCTACGGCTATTGTTTTGACTGGCAAAATGTTAAGTGATATATAACATTGATTATATTACATTGCTTCCGAACTTATTTTAGCATTCCTGTTTTGTAATGCAAAGCATGATTAATTTACAGGTGTTTTTCCATCCCATGATATGTCTTTCATTTTTTTCCCTCTATTTTTGTTAAAGTTTTTGTATTGTTCATTCAATGCCAATTATTTGCTAAAAAGGTAAAGACCTGTTATGGTCATGCGATTGCATTGTGAAAGAAACGTTGTGGAATGGTTCAGAAAAGGTTGATCATCTAGCATATAAGTATTGGTGTGTACTGCAAGGTTCCGGAATCATCAAAATGATAAGAAATTTGACCCAGTCTTCGTAAAGTTACAAGCACTGTACACAGAAAGATGTATATGGGACTATACGCACACGTGCGTGACATGTGCGTTTATCTCTCACAGACCAATAGATAAACTAATTTACCAAATATATCAATTAGTAGGCGGTTTCCCGACAAAATTTTTATCATCATGTATTTAATAGTCAAAACATATTCTTTCACATGATTGGTAATAAGAGCTTCCATTTCATTTTTTGAAATTGGGGCGTTTCCAATACTGGTCTTTACCTTTAAGCTCAAGAATATTTCAAACTTCAAGAGCTCTTGGCAGGGTCAAATATTTTAGGAAATGTAAATACACACAAGCACAAGTATTCACCTGTCTCCTCTTGCTCTATTTTCTCATCTTTCCTCTCTATTTCCTCTTTCTTTCTTTCTCTATCTGTATCTTGTTCTTTCTTTCTTTCTCTCCATTCCTCTCTCCCTTTCCTTCTTACTTCTGATGACATCAAATTGAAGGTTTACTTCAAAACATTGGGTGGTCGCGTGATGTCTGGTGGTCGCGTTACACAACCTCTCATATCTTTCATATATTTGCGATTTTGCGGTATAATTTTCACAAAGTGTTGGTTAAATTGAACTGGACCATTTGTAGATGAGAGGGGGTTTATTGACAATTATAACCCCAACACTTTGTGAATAAAGGGGCATGTTTCACAAAAGGTCAGGTACATGTACCACGACCACCCGACCGACCCGACGACCTGATGATTTGGTTCTTCTTGATTTTTCATCTTGATTTGTGAATATTTGCATTTCTTAAGCATTATTCCCAATGTGTTTTTTTTTATCATAATAAAGAGTTTCAATCACTTGATTTTGTTCTATCACACATGTAAAACCTGTCACCAATAATCCAGGAAAGGAAGGAAGGAAGGAAGGAAGGAAAAATCCAATCAACCACTGGCGTTGTAAAACTCATAAATTATGGGTGCTATTTCTAATTTCTTTCATTCTAAAAAAAATGAGAAAAAAACCCATCCATTCAATCATTGATGTAATGGAAATGAGTACTCTGTAGGACTTATGTAGGTGACATTTTATACGCAATTGATAAAAGAATCTTACTGAGTCAACTGCATAGAGCACTACATGTAGCAGCAGATGAATAAAATTATACTTCCCATACACACAGTACTACCGTATATGCATTATTTTGGCATTATTTCAGATTAATGTTGAATTTAAACCTGCTACCTGGGCTGGGATAGTTAGTTTGCACACTGTTCTTTAATGTTTTAAAGCATTAATATACAACGTTATATATATTATCTAGCCTAAAGATTTGTTTTTCTTTCTTCTTTGTAATCCTCAGCCACAAGCTTGTGGTTCTTCTTCTCTTCTTTTATTTCCTTTTTTGTGTGTTTTCGTTGAAGGAATTAATAATGGAAATATAATATCATTTACTGCACAGATAAATCAAATAATAATTTCTTGTAACAATTCAGGACCTAAAACCTTAACAGAGCATAAAACTGGAGCATTTTCCTCAAGATCTAACAAGATTATTTTTAAGAAAAGATTTTCTAAACTTTAAATCAACACAACTGATATACAACTTTATCTCTAGATTCATTTTTAATATCTATACTGTCTAATCTACATGTATATATGTGTACATGATAAGAAACCAAGATGCATTAAGAAAAACAAGTTTCTATCATGAATTATTTAGACAAGGATATTGCGATGTTTTGACTCAGTTTCAGTGTCCTAGCCATCACATCCAGATTAGGACAAAAGCTGTAATAAAAAAGGGAAAAAACATAGGAAGAACAAAGATAGTCAAAACAAACATATCTTGATGGTATAACATGTACGTACTACTGGGTACTCACAGATGGAGATAAGTATCATTCTACACTTCACAATCGTAACCAGAAGTAGAACTACTTATTCAATTCAATTCAATTCAAGTTTATTGGTCCAAAAGGAAATTCGTTTCGTTATGCATTGTTCACAGAGAAAAATAAATAAATGTACATGTGACATGATACATACAACATAAAACGAGTATATAGAGAGAATAAACATATAGCACCTTAACATTCACATTATATAGATATTTTCTCTGAACTTACATTATATTCAATATTTGTTCATGTATCCAGAATAATTACCAAAACAATATAACATTGTAATTATTATTACTATTATCATTATCAATATGACTATTACTATTATTATTATTATTAATTGTATTGTTATTATTATTAGTTTGACTCATTATCATTATGATAATAAAATTAAAAAAGACAAACATAAACCACAAACAGTTCAACAATCAAAAAGATTTATCATAATTACTGTCTATATGGTGGAAAAAATAACCATGTATATATCCTGATATTCTGATAGATCCACAACAATTATTGTCCCTATAAATGAAACCTAAATATGAGTGCACTCAGTGCAGTATGTATGAAATATGAATACCTATTGAAGGCAGTATGAGATAATTATTAATAAACATGCAATATATTACGACATGTGAGTATAAATAGAAAATTACATCATTTATAGACCTAAACATCATATACACATGACTTGGAAAACCCACTTAAAAAATAAAAGGCCACGGCAGATAAAATAAAAGATAAAACCAGAAGTAGAAATACTTATTACATCATTTACAGACCTAAACATCATTCACACATGACTTGGATAACCCACTTAAAAGATAAAAGGCCACGGCAGAAAGAATAAAAGAAGCCAAGCGTTCTTCACATTTCTGTATCTTATAAGCATGTTTACACAATAAATAATAATAATAATAATAAAAACGTTACTTATAAAGCGCTTACCACCGAAGTCTCTAAGCGCTTTAACACACAAAATAGACTGATATACAATTACATATTAAACAAAACTAAAAAGTGCAAATCAACCTACAAAATACAAAATAATTAGGGGTTTATATTGTGTACAGCTACATTTCTTTCATCCCTGATTGACATTCATTTAAGTGATTTTACACATAGAATATTTCATTTTTCCAGGGCCGCTTAAATAAAAAACAAAACAAATCATTTGTGAGGAAGGTTATACAAGAAAACCTTAATATTGATTCTTGCTATTATCAACTAGCAGTGAAATCTGACTGAAGAAAATAAAGTATAAGTGGGCAGTGGTCACACCAAAACTTTTATGTGCTTTAATGTTTTTTAAATCTTAATATATATCATTTTCGGAGAACTACAACAGTACAAACTCGCTATTTCATTTGGTAGGGCAGTATTGTTCTTTAATAGTACTTAAATCTGTTCATATTTGTGTACATATATATTTAGAACTATCAAAAGAGGAGGGGCTACAGATTAGTTTTGTATTTTCAACAAGTTTATTTTGAAGTCAAGTAATTTGAGGTTTATAGTAAAGGGCAAATTTTTCAAAAATATAACCATGATATATTCTTTCAATTCTTTCAATTCCCTCTAAAATATTTAAAATGTCTCTTTGTTACTGTTTGTATCTCTTAAAGCCCGTCTGTACTAGTTTGGCCAGAAGGGATTAGACCACCCAGCATGGTCACTGACAGGTGGAATTCTCATCAACTCAGCTCTTAATTAACATAAGAAAAAGAGGATCATGGGGGACCAATGGGCACCGCTTAGGATTTGTTTTATATATAGAGGGAGCAAGTAGCTACAAGTAGTACAGTGGGGCTTTAACATTACATGAATCTCTACTACATTGAAATTATCTAAATTTGTCCACAATTTAAATTATATTTAAAATTTCAATGGAATGTTTTTTACTGAAAATACCTAGAATATCTAGCGAGTCCTTTATCATACTCCCACATCATGAACATGTAGGATTGAATGTAAACAATTATGTAAGAACTTTATTTACTACCTGCCCCCCTGTAAAGATAAAAGAAATAAAAGATAACACTTACAAGTCTTCTGCAGTTACTCCTAGGGTAATCAAGAGATAGATCAACCAGAGCCCCTTTGTGAAGAAAATAAAACAACTCAATATCAATTACATATATAAATAGTACATTACATTATTTTTTTTAATAATAAAGAAGATTTTACTAATAGCCGTCTTGATTTTTAAGTATACATTCAAAACTTTATACAAAAACTTTATTTATGTTATTTTTGGAACAGGAAATTCAAGAATAAAGGGATGGAGTTTAGGTTTCATTTTTAGGTTAGGCACAAATTATGATAATCAACTACCTCTTAGATTTAGAATATCAAGGAAGTTCTTGATCCATTCTCAGGTTTTTTGCAACATTGTAATGTTACGGAAAACAGTAAGGAAGTGCTAACCACAGATTATTCTGGCATGTAGTTTTTAGAAGAAGCCAGATTCAGTTACTTCATTTGCTTTTAATTTCAATGGAGGTAAAAATAATATAAGAAATAACCGAGTATCAACAATATATGTAGTTTTTAAACAAAGCCAGATAACTTTATTTGCTTTCAATTTCAATGGAGACAAAAATAATAAGAGGAATAACAGAGTATTAACTATAGATAGTAATGTAAAGAATAATGTGAATAACAATATAAATGGCTGAAATCACAACAAATTATACAATTTCTTACACAAGTACGCAAACATGAAAATTGTGGTCTCAAGTTCATCAAGTATTCAACCCTTAAAGTACAAGTCTACTCCAAAAATAACTTACTTTCAACTGAAGCAGAAAATCAGACAAGTACTCAAACATGAAAATTGTGGTCTCAAGTTCATCAAGTATTCAACCCTTAAAGTACAAGTCTACTCCAAAAATAACTTACTTTCAATAGAAGCAGAAAATCAGACAAGTACTTAAACATGAAAATTGTGGTCTCAAGTTCATCAAGTATTCAACCCTTAAAGTACAAGTCCACTCCAAAAATAACTTACTTTCAATAGATGCAGAAAATCAGACAAACCAAACAAAAGAAGTTTATTTTATGTCTGCAAACTCTGCATATTAAATATTACACCTCCTTTTCTTTGAATTAACTGAATTAGAATAAAAAATTATATTACAATATATCCTAGATCAAATGCTGGCAGTCTGAATACTGACACTATAAATGGATGCTACCACAATGAAAATGTGAGCATCATTTTAAGCATTGTACATTGTTGTTTCAAGCAATGCAGAAGATGCTATGTTTGTTTGAATGGATTTGTTGTCCCTTTTAAATGTTTTACATGATCTACTCTCTGGATCTGTCTCTCCCAGCTCTTCTATAAATCTGTGTGTTCCTCATTCTCTCCACATCTCTCTCTCTCTCTCTCTCTCTCTCTCTCTCTCTCTCTCCCTCTGCCTTTCCCCTCTCTCTCCCTGTATTCCCCTCCCTCTCACTCTCTGTCTGCCTCTGTATGTATCTCTCTGTCTCTCTGTCTCTCTGTCTCTGTCTCTCTCTGTCTGTCTCTCTCTCCCTCTGCCTCGCCCCCCCCTCTCTCTCTCTCTCTCCCTGTCTCCCCCTCTCTCTGTGTGTCTTTGTCTGCTTCTGTCGTTATCTCTCTCTCTCTCTCTCTCTCTCTCTCTCTCTCTCTCTTATTTGGTTACTTACAATACCAGAGTCCAGCATTATTACTACTGCACTGGTACAGCACTGTGTCAACACAGGTCTATTTATATAACTCAGGACTCCATAGCAAATTAGCAATTCTTCCACAACAAGGCATGTGACGGCAACAATGTAGGCCTTTCGCAGTTCATTGGGCAATAAATTCTCAAAAATTATGACTCACATACATACGGTACATGTATATTTGTATACAAATCAGGAAAACGTTTGATTACAAACTTTTATGTATCCAGTAACTAATTCTATCATGTTCAAGTTTTAACTCATTGCCTACAGGTACCGAGTGGTACCAGGGTTAATTAAGCCTATGGGAATGACAAGATTCGGTAATCAATGAGTTCAGAAGCCAGCAGTTTTACGTTTGACCTACAAAATCATTTGATCCCCCCTCCCCCTTCTCCCCCTCCCCCCCCCCCCCCCCCCCCCACATAAAAAAATTTCACTCTCTCTAATCTTAACTTTTCGCACATACAGTACATGTATATCTTCTCTTTATTTTCCTCTTCTTCTTCTACTGGTCACTAAGATTGCTAAAAAGCTAAGAAATTTGATAATCAGCTTTTACGTAGTTATTGTTTGCTATCGTGTTGACCATTCAGTTCCAGTTCGTTGACATACATGTAAACAATTTTTTTTCTTCATTTGAGCAGAGGTCTTTAAATAGATGATGTGGTAATTAGATGAAGTTGGAGGAAGAAAAAAAAGGGATTGTAATAAATTGAATTGCATAAAAGTTGGCAAAGCAGAGACAAATTTGGTGAAAGTTGGTAGAAAATAATGGATCATTAAAATAGGAAAACTATATTTTTTGTTGTTGAGATTATGCTCAAACTGGCATGTGCACAATAAAACTTAGAAAAGAGGTAAATTAGTAAATTTGTTAGTATGATCAAAATGGATATTTATGCAACATGTCACAGTGACATTATATTACATTTCTGTATAATCAAAACTTTTTAATTGTTTAGCATATATCATTAAAACTTCCAGATCTATTTCAGTGATTTTGTTCTGCTTTCTTTCAGAGGAATTCGTGTGGGTGTGTCTTAGATGAGATAAAATATTGCTATGAATCTCAGAATACTGATTTATAACTTCAAAGGCTAAGATATCTCACCGAGATAAAATGACAGATTTTTACTAAAAATAAAATGAATCTCAGAATACCATACAGTGGGGTATTTCACAAAGATTCTAAGCCGAACTTAACTCTTAGTGGGACTTAAATATTATGGAGAGCCAATTGTAGCCTTATAATGAAATATATTCAAAAGCAAAAATTCAAGTATTTAAAACTATTGATAAATTCCACATCAAGAACATGAAATTTCCCAAGATAATAGAAAATATGAATGATTTGAATCAACATGTAATATGCCTAAGCTTTTAGAATAACTTTTACAAAATATTTTCAAGGATGCTAACGGCTTTCCATAATTATTAAGTGCAACTTGGAGATAAGTTCAACTTAGGATCTTTGTGAAACACGCCCCAGCTATCATTTAGAAACTTACCAGGCAAACAAATCCAAGAGGTCGTACATTTGGGAAGGAGCAGTAGATCACCTTGAGGTAGTTGATAAAACCATCTGAGTTCTGACAATCATCAGCTGTCCGGATGAAGTCACATTTCTCCGCTGAAGAATTGAGTTTGTGGTAATCCTCACACTACAGAATAAAAATATAAAAATTATTCATTGCCATCCGAGTTCGAGTCTATTCAGGGTGTCGATTTGTATCCGTGGTTGGGGGGGATGAAAGGGGCCAAAATATTTTCAGCAATAGATCAAAGCAACCAAGAGGTAGAAGCGTGTGGCAGGTTGCACCCCTCCCTACCAAGTTATTAACTTTTTCAAGTCACCCTCAATAAAGATTTCATTATCCTCTCAAGCGCGTAATTACCAGGATTTTATTTTAGGGGGTGGTAGTGAGCTCTGACAATTCATTAAATTATTAAAGAAAGATGACGATTCGTTGTACCATTCTCGACTCTTAATCCTTGTCTGAATTCAGTTCCCCCCCCCCTCCCGCTCGAAGCGCGGAAGCTCTGACGTTTCATTAAATTATGAGAGAAAGAAGACGATTCGTTGTACCGTTCTCGACTATTAATCCTTGTTTGAATCAAGTTCCCCTTTCTCCGCGCATAGTGCGGAAGCTCTGACGTTTCATTAAATTATCAAAGAAAGAAGACGATTCGTTGTACCATTCTCGACTCTTAATCCTTGTCTGAATTCAGTTCCCCCCCCCCCCTCCCGCTCGAAGCGCGGAAGCTCTGACGTTTCATTAAATTATGAGAGAAAGAAGACGATTCATTGTACCGTTCTCGACTATTAATCCTTGTTTGAATCAAGTTCCCCTTCCTCCGCGCGAAAGCTTTGATGTTTCATTGAATTATTAGAGAAAGAAGACAAAGACGAGTATAATAACTATTACATGTACTCTCATCGGGCTCTCATCATTAATTTTTTTTGTTTTTTGTGATGGTGAATTATTGGGGGGGATGATTGTACAGGCCATCCCCCCCACCTGAAATATTGAGTCTATTTTTTAAACACTACAGAGAACTGCTCTCTTTATTCAAACTTCAAATCTACTATTAACATTCAGTAGAGTCTAGAGCAATAAAACAACATACTTTTAAGAAGCTATAATTTACTTTGATATGTTTATTGAATAAATCGTGGGTAACATTGTTGAAATGTTTGTATCATTATGCTGTTTTTGTTTTATCCGAATATTTTGTTGCTTATTGTCTTTTGACTTGTCACTTTCATTTTTTTTTGGTGTGAGTGTTTGTAACTTTTTTGTTTGTTCCTTTTGACTATTTAATAATTCTATTTTCAATTATACATTATGGTAAATAGATCTAGCTCGAATAACCAAATTTCAAACGAACATAAAATGAATCTTACAGGCGTATTATGGCCAGGAGCAGCATCAGGTACAGGTGTCGTCACATTGAACTGGAGACCGGTCAATCGAGAATCCCCTGCAATACGCGAACTCGGAAAAAGGAACGAGACGTCTTCGCTCAAGTCTCCCTGAACTTCTCCGGTAGGAGAGCTGAGCACACCGCCCAGAAATGCGAACAGTAAAACGAGTCGGTGGTTCATCGCACAAAAACTGTTTCTCTTATCTGATATGCTCCTTTGCACGAGCTAGTCTTTCAGAATATTTGCAGCACTTGACTTTTTCCATGCCAATGTAATGACTTGCTTTTATTATCTGAAACTGAGAATGACTTCCCGGCATCATAATCTGATCTATTTTGAAGAGTTGTGAACACCGGTATTATTGTGTAAGTTATGGGGTGCCACACACTAGTATGGAAAGCTGATGCACATTAGCGGCATGCGTGGGGAGTTGTCGGTAGATTTGAAACTTCATTGGTAGAACAAACACATGTCAATGAAAATGCCGGCAAAATATACGATTTACCCAAAAAAGTAGAGCTGCTTTTTTCAATTAAAAAAATAGGCCTACGACATTTTTTTCTAAACCCACTTGCTTTGCTCTATCGAATATGAATAATTCAATTCACCAAATCTTCCATTGAGATTATATCCACCAAACATATGTTTGGTGGAAACTTTATTCAGTTAGGACGTAGGAACCAACGAAATATAAGAACTGCTTTATTCTTTTAAACATTATGGAATTCAACATTATTCTGGAATGATGAGTGCTTTACAAAAAAACAAATATGAATGTAAAGTTTAATGTTTTAATGTTTGATCACTGTGAATATTTCTGAAATAAGATGAGTTCTAACTGTTCTGTTGAACATAATCATTTCTGAAGACAAGCAATAATTCTGTTGAACAGAATTGTTGAGAGCTCATCAACAAAATATATGACCCTAGGTAAGGATTCGGGGACACAGTTGCTGGATAAATTGTAGTGATTGTAATATTTTTTAAAGGAGCAAAGAAAAGATGTGAAAAGATCTTTCTGTATTTTCCGATATAGTGGGAGTTGAACCTTCACACTTTATCAAAATAAAACAAAAGTAATAAAACTAAGGAATATCAAACTCAAACTCAAACCATGAAACCGTGTGAAACGTTCACGTCGCTGGACGTGCTGGGAATACAGCTCGTTCAGATAAAGCTCAAAATTCGTTCATATTTTTACACGAAAAAAAAACACGACATTCTACCGCGCCATTATTGAACAAGCCTTAAATCCCTAAACCCCCCCCCCCTTTGGATTTTTTTTTTTTTAAATTATTAAAAAAAAATATAAAAAAATAATAATAATTATCCCCATGGCTGACCTAAGAAAGTTGACCTTACCCCCCCCCCCCAAAGGAGCAAAATGTCAAATTTTCAAATTTTGAGACAAAAAAAAAAAAAAAGTGTCCTCTTACACCCCCCCCCCCCCGCTTATTCAGCGGTCGGTAGAGTCGTTGCGATTTTTTTGAGACATAAAAAAAAAAAAAAGTGTCCGCTTACCCCCCCCCCACTGAGCGACTTTTCGGCTGGCTGAGTCGTTGCGATTTTTTTTGGGCTCCCAAAAAAGAAAAGAAAAAGAGTCCGCTTACCCACCCCCCCCCCCCCCCCCCCCCCCCCCCCCCCACTGACCGACATTTTGGCCGGCGCGATTTTCAAATTTTCCTGAGGCGTTGCGAAATTTTGGACCCGATTTTAAACCCCCCCCCCCCCTTGAAAATATCCTGCGTACGCCACTGACCGGGAGTGTTGGTAATTAATATGTTTTTCTCCTATAGGCCTAGATCTAAATTATCGTAATTCACGTGGGATCTCTTCGAAGAGACCAACGTCAGTACAAAGGACTTGTCGTTCTGCGCAGTGGATGACGACGGTGTTGATAATTATACCATCGCCCAAATGCTCCTCGAGCAGTTGCTTTACGAAATCGTATGATTTCCTGAATAAAGAAATAAAAAGTGACTTGAGAATGACAAAAGGCTTGTGTGTTCGTTCATTTATTCTCTTGAATCATTGTAGTCTCAAGTGTAAGAGAAGAATGTTTTTACTCTCCTCTCCTGATAAGAGAATGAAAAACAAAAAAACAAAAAAAGTTCTACACGATGATAATCACGAAACACAATGACAATACGACGGTATTCAAACCAGTTATAGATATTGATGAGAAATAACCATCCGCTGATGTTGCATGCCGGACAGGCGTATGTAAAATGACGTAATTGTAGCCTATCTAAAAATGACTTAATAAAAAAGAATATTGCCTGCTGTAAATCTATAAAATAGCAGATACTGTTTGGACGTCGCACTCTTTAAGATTTTTCGCTCTGGTTGTATTTTTTGTGCCTTGATCACGTTGATTTATTTCAAAGGGACTACATGATCTGCGGCCCATCTTTGCTACAGTGCACTTTAAAGAAGTGAGAAGGCCAAACTGGGCCTGGCTACCAGATCGAGCCATGATGATCTAATAAGATGGCGCTTTGCTAAAGACCAAATCGGTCACCAAATGAAACTTATTCGGCTCATTCTGCTCTATCCGAATGCAATATCTAAGCGAGTTAAGGAGCGCACATGCATGTAGTATAATCTTTATCATTTCAAATCTCCACAATGCCAACACACCTCCCCCCCCCCCCCCTCCCCTAGTCATCTGGAAATGCTTTATCTTTACCAGCATTAAAAACAGTTTTTTTTTTCAGTCAGAATCATGAACTGTCCAAACCCGCCCCCATTAGTCCCACCTGCAGCCCCCCCCCCCCCCCCCCCTCTAGAAAAATAAAAAAACGGCGCTATTGCCTACAGAGCGAAGAGCTATGTTTACAGGCGTTTTAAAAAATGTGACATCACAATGATCTCCTGCACCCAAAGGATGCGCATTCTGACAAGCGTTAATTAGATATGACGACATAATGCTTTCCCTCGTCCAAAGGGCCGCGCCCCCACTAATATGGGTCAATGCGTAAACTGTCCAAGCATTAAAGATGTGACTTCACAATGATACTGGCGCGCCGCGCAAACTTTGATCCAATCAGCGCGCAGTAACCAAGCAATCTCTGGACGCGCGTGACATCATAATGCGTTGTGCGCCGGTATGTTTACATTTCAAGAAAATGTGTTGCTAATGCTTCATTCTTTATTGAACTCCCCTCGCATCCAGATGTCTGTACATCTTGCTTGCTTCACAATGCCAAATCAATCTATGAGAAGGCGTCGATTCTTTGGTCGATTCAGAAAGACAGTGACCAAAGGTTTTCGAAAATTATGCTGCTGCGTTCGAGGTAAATAAAAGAATGAGTTAGAGGGGATAGATGGCATTCTAAAATATAAAGATGTATTCTCAACAAATAATAGGGGGGGGGCGGGTGGAATCGGTGTTTAACGAAAGCTTGTAAGTATATACCCACTCAAACGAGATGGAGGTCTTGTCATTTTAAAACCAAGAAACGATGATTTTGTACGAAAGCAAAAGAATGAGCGAAAAGCGATGTGCGGCTAACAGATTGACATTACTATATTCTCATTATTGTTTACAGCATCTATTGATGACGAACGTCCAGTCGCAGTGACAGTTGATGATATTGCATTGGTAAGTAAATCGCTTCAAACAATAACAAAAGTCGAATCCTCTTCTAAAATTGTATCAATAATCAATGCCACGCCTAGTAGTGTATTTAATAAACAGAACAAACTGCACATTTTGGGAGGTGTTGATTCTAGACTAGAGATGACTTTTGAGTTCCCTTTGCTATTTTGACTGGAAATCAAGTGGTTCATTCTCAAGCATAATTCAGCTCTTCACTCTCTTTCCCTTTTTTTTATCTTGCAGTTCCACCTTGTTAGTGGAGCATCCAACTACGAAATTACTAAAGTTGAAGAGAATTGCAATATTGACACCAAACCACAATTGGTCGTTCCTTCAGCCGTGTCTGATGATGACGGTGATGATGACGACAACTTGAGTTCAATCTCTGACTGGTCTTCGCTATTCGATGAGAGCGACGATGATGACGATATGTCGAGTTTTACCACAGTCTCTGAACTATCGAACTTTACGTGGGATCTCTTCGAAGAGACCAACGTCAGCACAAAGGACTTGTCGTTCTGCGCAGTGGATGACGACGGTGTTGATAATTATACCATCGCCCAAATGCTCCTCGAGCAGTTGCTTTACGAAATCGTATGATTTCCTGAATAAAGAAATAAAAAGTGACTTGAGAATGACAAAAGGCTTGTGTGTTCGTTCATTTATTCTCTTGAATCATTGTAGTCTCAAGTGTAAGAGAAGAATGTTTTTACTCTCCTCTCCTGATAAGAGAATGAAAAAAAAAAAAAAAAAAAAAAAGTTCTACACGATGGTAATCACGAAACACAATGACAATACGACGGTATTCAAACCAGTTATAGATATTGATGGGAAATAACCATCCGCTGATGTTGCATGCCGGACAGGCGTATGTAAAATGACGTAATTGTAGCCTATCTAAAAATGACTTAATAAAAACGAATATTGCCTGCTGTAAATCTATGAAATAGCAGATACTGTTTGGACGTCGCACTCTTTAAGATTTTTCGCTCTGGTTGTATTTTTTGTGCCTTGATCACGTTGATTTATTTCAAAGGGACTACATGATCTGCGGCCCATCTTTGCTACAGTGCACTTTAAAGAAGTGAGAAGGCCAAACTGGGCCTGGCTACCAGATCGAGCCATGATGATCTAATAAGATGGCGCTTTGCTAAAGACCAAATCGGTCACCAAATGAAACTTATTCGGCTCATTCTGCTCTATCCGAATGCAATATCTAAGCGAGTTAAGGAGCGCACATGCATGTAGTATAATCTTTATCATTTCAAATCTCCACAATGCCAACACACCTCCCCCCCCCCCCCCCCTCCCCTAGTCATCTGGAAATGCTTTATCTTTACCAGCATTAAAAACAGTTTTTTTTTTCAGTCAGAATCATGAACTGTCCAAACCCGCCCCCATTAGTCCCACCTGCAGCCCCCCCCCCCTCTAGAAAAATAAAAAAACGGCGCTATTGCCTACAGAGCGAAGAGCTATGTTTACAGGCGTTTTAAAAAATGTGACATCACAATGATCTCCTGCACCCAAAGGATGCGCATTCTGACAAGCGTTAATTAGATATGACGACATAATGCTTTCCCTCGTCCAAAGGGCCGCGCCCCCACTAATATGGGTCAATGCGTAAACTGTCCAAGCATTAAAGATGTGACTTCACAATGATACTGGCGCGCCGCGCAAACTTTGATCCAATCAGCGCGCAGTAACCAAGCAATCTCTGGACGCGCGTGACATCATAATGCGTTGTGCGCCGGTATGTTTACATTTCAAGAAAATGTGTTGCTAATGC